TACGTCATCTCCTTCATCGCTCTGATTGGTTTAAGGTCTACCCGCGAAGTCTGTTGGTGACGCCCCTCTGGACATGATTTGTCTATGGCGCTTTGCCAGACCATAACTCAGTTACAACTGAGAATGGTCTGGTTTTAACCAGGCTAGGAATCTAGAGCTGTGCATGCGAGACAGAACATGTGCGCCAGCGCCAAAGTGTGTAGAGAGAGAGACCTTGCCTTCGAGATAACACCCCCTCCCCCACCGGTCAACAAAACCGATCGCCAAAATATAGTAGTAAAGACCCTAATTGTCCCTCATTTTTCTTTTCGGAAGTTGTTCATCACTAAATACGAGATAATATGTATGTCCTCCCTTCAACATTTTGCATTTGTAGGAGTTGCGTTTTTTAAAGTTGTGATTTAAAGTCTCTGTTTTAGATTGCATAGTAAGCGCATTCATCATGCAATCCTCAAGACATGTTGCTTAACAGTTGTGTGTTCCCTCAAATGTTTCTCTCTGGCATGGGCACTGCAGAGACACGTGTTGAAGGGAGAAAAACCCCAGTTTACAATGTAGCCTGTGATACAGTTTATGAAGAACAGATGAGAATGTTGGCAGTTCTCCATTCTGAGAGTGATGACCTCACATGTTTGGCCCAGGTCTTCATAGTTTCATCCTCCATGGACTGTAGCAACAGAACCGTGCTCTGTGAAATATGTATACTGCGTTTCAAAAATAAAAATGATTTCATTGAAACGGCTCGAATAAAACTGCTAGAAAAGCTATTTTACATAGATCAATCCCTTAAGGTGATAGTTCAGTCGGGACGATTGACAGTTAGCATACAGTTTGGATTGGCGTTATGGTTCTGTTCTGCTGATATCATTCATTCAATATAAGTACAACATAATTCGAGAATTTAAGGGGAATCAGAATACCAAATCCTGACTGACAGGAGGAGCTGGGGATGGAAGAGGGTATTGGCTCCTGAGAAATACTGTGATGGGCGTCGTATTCCTAAAGGTAGACATGGATCAGCTGAGATTGATTTCACCGGAAAAAATTTAATTCTATAAATTTCTTAGCCTCATGTCATTCTAAAGCCGTAAGAGTTTAACTCAATTTCAAAACACTAAGATACACCCTAAAAATGCTTCGTTGTTTTAACCCAACTTTGGGTCAAATATGGACAAACCCAAACATTTGGTTAAAAATGTAATTAAAAAATTTAACCCAATGGCTGGGTTTGTCCATATTTGACCCAGCAATTTTTAGAGTGTATTTTGAATGAAATCTGAGAGAATTTCTGTCCCTCCAATGAAAGTCTCTTCAACCGAAACTCTGTCGCTTCAAAAAGAGATGTATTTTATTTGAATATATATTTTATATGTCATTTATCCCTTAATTTTCATCATCATTACATCAGTCTTCAGTGTCACATGATCCTTCAGAAATCATTCTAATATGTAGATTTGCTGCTCAAGAAACATTTCTGATTATTATCAATGTTGAAAACAGTTGTGGAGCTTCTTCTTTTTTTCTTTTTTTTTTTGGTGGAAACCGTGTTACATTTTTTTCAGGATTTTTTGATTAATAGCAGTTGAAAAGAACAGCATTTATTTGAAACAGAAATGTTTTGTAACATTATATTTTAATTGTCACTTTACAACACAATTGAAGGTATCCTTGCTGAATAAAAATATGTATGTAAAAAACAAAAAAAATTTAAATGGACAAGTCAAACGTTTGAGACGTGTGGCTCCGCAACACAGATACAATCAAGTGATGGGATTATGAGGGTTCATGGCAAAAAAACGCCTGGATCTGAGGAGAAGCTTCTAGAAGCTTAGAAGTCTTCAAATAGGATTTGCCTTTTTCCCAGACACTAAAGGGTTTCCACATTACTTGCTTTTTTTTAACCCTCCCACGGAGTGGTAAGCACTGTCATCATTCCCTCTGCATGTGTGGTTAGACTGACCCATGTGTATTAGTTAAGAAGCCTTAGCATGCACTGATCTTTTCCTGAGATGGTTGTATATGTATGTGTTGTATATGGTGTCTTTATACAACAATACGACAGTAACCATGCAAAGACATCACAGTTTACAGCACATGTACAGTGTGAGGGAAATTCTAACTTCTAAAAGTGAAGTTATGGCCGCAGATTGGGTGGAGTAGATGTATCTGAATGCCTTGCAATGTGGTCGGTGTCGCCACAGCATGACAAATTGATTGGTTTTGAAATTACTATGGTTGAAAACACATGCTAGCCTTACTATTTACAGGACTGTATTGGGAACATGACCCCTATCGCTTTTGGACAGCGAGATCTGTCCTGACAACATTTCTGAAGACTTAGCGCTTAAATTATACATTTATATCAACTGCTGCTACATTTTTTGTTATACTGGGTTAGATTACTTTGTTTTGCATACTGTTAAAGTTTGAAGTCAACAAGATGGGGTTTTTTTTTAAGAAATTAATACTTTTATTCAGCAGGGATGCATCAGATTGATCAAAAGTGAAATTAGACATTTAAAACGTTTTATTTTTCTATTTAAAATATTCTATTCAAAGATTTCTGGAAAAAAAAAATATTAAGCTGCTTAAATGTTTTCAACATTGATAATAATAATTAGAAATGTTTCTTGAGCGTCAAATCATCATATTAGGATCATGTGACACTGAAGACTGGAATAATGATGCTTTGCTTATTTGCTTTACATTATGAGCCCTGGAAGAACAACGTTTTTAAACATATGAAGTCCAAGTCTAGTAGAGGTGAAATTAGCCTGTCTACAGAAAACAGGTGTTGTGTCTCGGGTCTGTGGTCAAATGAACTAACCCAGAATACAATTTTACTGCTTAACTGTAGCTTTCATAGTTGTGGAGATTTAATAGAGTGCTCAAGTATGTGTCTCCTTACACACAAAGTATAAAGCTTTAAAAATCATGCAAGCGCATTTGCTTCTGCAGAATTTGAGGCTTGGCTTTGGGAACTGTATATAGTGCTATAGTTGATGACACACACAGTTTATTTTTAGGTGAAGGTTTATACATACTTGCACATGCCTTATGTTTGAAATGCTGTCAGCAAGATCAAGTCAAGACAGATCTATTTTATTAAGCAGGACTGCACTTCCTCTTTCCAAGGCAGTCATAAAACCTCGTCTCCTTAGATTTCCACACACTGCACCTCAGGCAAACCTTTTGCACGGATTAAAGAAGTTTTTAAACTGATTTATAATTTATAAGCAGGGTAAAAAATGTTGTAAATGAGTTTGTAGTACGTTCTCTTTGAATTTTTTATTAGTATGCCAGATGGCACAGAATAATCAATTTTTGTGCAAATGGACTCAGAATTTTATGTAATGCATGTACTCTGCCTCAGGATTAGTTTTTTTTAAGCACTTTTAAGCAAGTCAGTTCATGTGGGATGCAGCTTTTCTGTAGGCAAGTAAGTACAGCTTCTGTGGTGAGGACAGACCAAAACATTCAAACCTTCAATCTACAATAAAAGCAGACAAAATATTGTAATATAATACAGTTTTTTTCTCTTTTGCTTACCCTATCTCTGGTATCACATGTCCTGCATGACCTCTGACCTGGAGTGGACCTTTTGAGTCCAAGACATGAGCTGCAAATGTGTCAGCAGGGTTTACAAGATCTATATCAGCTGCATGCATCTCAGCTTAAAGGGATAGTTCACTTTAAAATTAATTTTTGATATGTTTTATCTCACCTCAAGGGCATCCAAGATGTAGGTGTTTTTGTTTCCACAGCATTTTCCATGTTGACATTTTTTGGTCAAACCATTGTTGTCTGTCAGTCCTAATGCAGTTTTTTTAAGGGGGTCCACCTCAAAGAGCATGCACAGAGAAGTCCAAATTAAACATGATTTAATGACTCGTAAATGTAAGTACACATTGATGGCCTAAGACACGAAACGAGCGGTTTGTGTGAGAAAACGAACAGTATTTATATCGTTTTTACCTCTTGTTAACAGCCGTCGAACTGATCTGAATCAGATGTCCAACTGAACCGAACTGAACCGTCTCCAGACGATACGCTGGAAGTGATCTCTCGCGCGTCACGCATTGTTTACACGGAGATTTCGGAAGTTTTACCTTTAACTAAACATATTTAGATACATCGAAATCGTCTTCCATTGCGATTTCCTGTATATTTCAATATGTTTAGTGAAAGGTAAAACTTACGAAATCTCTGTATAAACAAAGAGTGACGTAGGAGCGCAAGCGATCACTTCCGGCGCATGCGCAGACCGAAGCGCCCGTGCCGTCAGATCATTTTGTCATGGCTATGATTACAAGAGGTAAAAACTATATAAATACTGTTCGTTTTCTCACACAAACCGCTCGTTTCGTGTCTTAGGCCATCAATGTGTACTTACACTTAAATCACGTCATTAAATCATGTTTAATTTGGACTTCTCTGCATGCTTTTTGGTGGACCCCCTTAGCCTCCAGTGTATGACTGATAGACAACAACGGTTTGACTGAAAAATGTCAAAATTGAAAATACTGTGGAAACAAAGACACCTACATCTTGGATGCCCTTGAGATAAGCTAAAACATATCAAAAATTAATTTCAAAGTGAACTATCCCATAAAATGGCCATGAAATTTTGTACAGCACACCACAAACATATGTTCATGTCCACCTTCCTCTGAAAAGTGTCCAAAGTGGGTAAAAATAATTTCTTGACAGTTGAATTCTTTCGTCTTGTTTTAAATCGCCTATTAGGAGGAAAATGCAGCCTGACTAGAAAAAATTTTTAAACAAATGTGCAGTTGAAAACTCTACTGAATGTGATTGGCTAAAAATAATCAAGGATTCCCACAGCGAGTCAATGAAAACAGTGCGTTTGAGGAGACCCCTCAGAGTGATTCGGGAAAATCCGGCACAGAGATTTGGATCAAAATGGTGGCCGCTATTTATTGATATGTCCACATACCCAGTTAATGTTTCTTAAGCCGGTGTGTCGTGTCTGTCGGCAGGTTGCGGGGCAGCGGTACTCTCTCTGGGACGACTTCCTGGTGCAGGGCCGGCATGAGGGTCAAAAGGAAATGACCTTGGAGGAACTGCTGAAACACATTAAGGTTAAAGCACACACGCTGTCAACATCACACACTTAGAGACATCAGATACCGTTCACACTCAGTCTCACACCAGCTTTTTTTCTACAGGCTGAAATCTTTTCTCTGGCACCAGAACTGCTTTTTATGTAATATAACAGCATTTATTTGTAACTGAAATCTTTTGTAACATTATAAATAGCTGTCTGTTTAACGCATCGGTAACACTTTACAATAAGGTTCGTTAGTTAACATTAGTTAACTACATTAGTTAATATGAACTAATAATGAATAGCACATATACAGCATTTGATAATCTTTGTTAATGTTAGTTTCAACATTTACTAATACTTGATTAAAATCTTGTTAACATTAGTTAATGCACCGTGAACTAACATGAACAAACAATGAACAGCTGTATTTTCATGAACTAACATTAACAAAGATTAACAAATGCCGTTACAAATGTATTGCTCATGGTTAGTGCATGTTAGTAAATACATTAACTAATGTTAACTAATGAACCTTATTGTAAAGTGTTACCAACGCATCATTGCTGAATAAAAGTATTACTGACCTCCGATATTTGAAATGCTAGTTTATAGAGGAAATTGGTCAACTAGACGTAAATCAATCAATTATACAGTTACAAATGCTCCAAAAATCAGACATTTCTAGATGAAAACACACATTGAATACACACGGCTGGATGTGTGTCGAATTAGTTGATTTGATACGTATTTCTCATTTCAGGAAAAGCATAAGTTGAACATCACAGGCTTGTATTATGGGACTGCCGTATTGTACAGCAATCTCTCCGATCACACTGGTCGCCTGAAGCTAAGGTGTGTATGCCGATATACAGCTGTTATAAACAGAAATACATCTTTTGTATACTATATTGGATGCTTACCTGCATTATATTAACATATATTCTACAGCTAAATATCATTAGATTTGTCTAGACTAAGAGATTTTGAGACTTTGGTCCCGTAATGGATATTTTTTTAAAGCATGGACACACAGTCTTCCAGCATGACAGTCATTTGAAGCCATTAACCCTTCACTGCATGTGTGCACCTAACATCAATCTGTTGATAGACTTCAAGATCCTTCCTGGGTCTCTTCCTGCTGGAACCAAAATTAGTCTCAAAATTAGAAAACAAATACATTTATTACCCTGTCAGGTGCTGTTCCTTCCTGCCGTTTTTTTCTTCTACATTTGTTTGAAACGTTTGTCATGATATAAAAGCATGTGAAAGCAAGTATGCATGTACAGCATGTAGACTACCAGTCAAAATGTAATTTATTCCTGTGATCAAATCTGAATATTTAGCATTATTACTCCAGTTTTCAGTGTCACATGATCCTTCAGAAATCATTCTAATATGATGATTAAATCATTAATAAAATCTTTTGACAGACAAATACAAATGTTTCGCATGTACTGCATATATGCATGACCAAATGTGTAGTATACAACCAGAGCACATTGCATTGTTTACCGGATCTCAATGCAGTGCACTCAACTTGAACTTCTATTTCTAAGGTGAGGAATGAAGTAGAAGAGGTCATGTGACATTTGAAACTGTTATAGTATGTTGCATTTCACATACAGTACTTCTATACTATTCTAATATATATATATGGAATAGTTACATGTGCAGTAAGCTAGTACTTCATTCTGAACATAACCAGTGTTTGTGTGGCATGAGAGTGACCTTCCTGTTCCTCTCTAATTATGAGATACAGACCATACTGTACCACACCCTCACATAAATAAACACTCTCATACATTCATTCACTGCAGCCATTCTTATGTAACTGTATGTTATGTAAAGAAGTACAGTGGATTTAAAAGGTTTTGATGGTACTTTGATTTAGCCTAACAACTGAAAAGGATTTGTATTAATTGATTAACTTATCGTTTATGCAGCATTACTGATCTGGTACGCTCCGCAACCAAGCGTGAGGTTCCAGATCACCAGCAGATGTTGGAGATCATTCCCTCATTTGAAGAGGATGAGGAGTGCATGATGCCCATCAGATACCTCAGGTGAAGCTGGAACTGAGAGCATCACCTTAATGAGATTATTCTCTCTATTAACATAATGTTATATGCTAAACAGTCATAAAAATCATAGGAATATGCACACTGCAAAAATCACTGTTAAAAAAAACCATGCATTTAATGAGGTTAATTCTGAGAACAAATAAGAAATATTGCCTATAAAATAAATGTATAATTAAAACTCTTATATAACATTATGGTAACATTTTACAATAAGGTCTCTAACATTAGTAAAATATTTAAGGAATCATGATTTGGATTTTTAAAAATATTTTAAAATGTTCATTGAGTTTCACTTATAATGTTACATTTTTTTGTGAAAAACCGTCATTTACTAATGGCTTGTGATTCAGCTACTGTCAGATCCAATACTGCTGACTGCTTCATCTGCCATCAAAAGTGTCTTTGCACTTTTTAATACACTGTGGCTCGTTTATAAAACAATCTTGGGTCAAATTATCTGAACAAACATATAATCCTCAGACGAGATCCTGAATGCCAAAAATAAAGCAATCATCCACTTGATCCTGACGCTAGGTGTAGTTAACCAATTTTAACTAACATACTGTATGAAACCTTACTGTAAAGTTACCAACATTACTTTGAAAAAGCCTTAATATCTTCTCGAGAATCAAAAATAAAATAAAAATAAAATAACATTGGCTATGTTGCTGTCACATTTGAACTGGAAAGAGTCTCTAATTCTGATATTTCTTTTCTAGCTTTTCTGTTAATTCGTTTAAACTCAGTGTATCTGGGATCAATGCGACCCCTGTGGTTTCTTAATTCCCGCCCTCATCTCTTTGTTATGCAGCCATGGCCACCCACCACCCCTCACCTCACTATTATCATGTAGGAAAACAGTTCCAGAGCCAAATTTCATCACCTTTAAACATGATTGTGTGTATTCAGACCTAATCACATTACAGCACTGTTTCACATTCACAAAAAAGATTTGACAGTTTGATTCTGGCTATAAACCTCACATGCTAAAAATTCTTAGCCTACTGTATCTGTCTACATCTCATATTGTTCTGTCATTAAAGTCTTATTTTAAAGGGAGAATTCCAGATTTTACTCAATTACTGCCTGTTTCTTAAGAATAAAGAGTAATAATTGCACAGTATACTGAATGAGATATTCATTGTTGTGTTGAAACCATAAATTGTATTTGCACGAGTAGTAAATTTCACAGAAAAGTTGTCATTCATGCGACGGCTGCAAACCAAATAAAACTTCGAACATTAAACTTGGGCCAGCTAAACATGAATATTGTTGGTTAACTGTTCGTTAACTATTTGGATTCTAATAAATGTAACCATGTGTTAAATATCGGTCTGTTTTATATCTGTTGCAACCAATTAATTAAAGCAACAATGGCAAATATTTTTTCTTTAAAATGGGCTGAATGATATATATACCCGTATATAAAAATACCCGTTTTTCATAAAAATAGGTCAGAATATTCTCTTTTATATAAAAAAATTTTTTTATTGCAATATTATTAATACATAGAACAATATTAGACATTTTCAGAAATAAAATCCAGCAAATTTTCAGAAACGCATCAGATGTATCCAATGATGTCATTGCATATGACAGGCTGTCGACTCCCAGTCTTCATGGCAGTGCTAAACTGGTAAAAGTCTGGTCCCATTTGGTGCAAACTGGCGTGGGACTGGTGAAAGAAGGGTTTGGGGGGTTGGAATCCCACAGGACAAGACATCCGTTTAGTGCGTTTAGTCTCCTCGACTCCAACTCCCTTCGACATGCCTGCAATTTTCCGCCGCATGTTGACCAGAAAGTCCTTGGCCATTTTGCGGCTGGCGTTCGGCTTCAGTTCTGCAGAATCTGGGCACTCTGGAAGGTCCATCCAGTTTTTAATAAGATCTGCAAAGCTGTTGTCTCCAAGAACCAGCGGTTGCCTGTTACGCCCTCTAGTTAACAAAGACGTGGTCCAGTCCGTTGGGTCGCTGGCCTCAAACGACGTCCAGCGCTCCAGGCATGCGTCTGATGTGGATTTGGGACGGGTTCGGTTGGTGCGGACACACGCGGAAGATGAAACGCGTACATTCCTTGTGCGGCGCAACACTACGCCCTCATCCTGCCACGATGCTTCGGAGTACCCAGAATCAAAGTCCAGGCTTTTCAAGCTGCTGGGGGAGCCCTGAGGCAGACGGCCGACACCGGCCTCCTCATCCTCCTCTTCTTCCAGTGGGCTGGCCAGGCAGCAGGCGGAGTCGTAGGTGCTGGCGTCGCTAACGTCAGATATCCGCAGGCGACTGAGTAGCTCCCGCTTTTGTGCCCTCTTTTGACAGGCTCGAGTGGCGTATGAGCACTTTGATTGATTGTCGGGTTCTCGTATCTGCTTCAGATCCTGCAGAGACCTCATCATGTATCGCATCTGGTCCCGAAAACAGTCGCCTGAATTGCGAGAGCACAGCTAGAGAAAGAAAAGGAAGAGGTTTGAGCTTGACTGCATGCATCAAGTGCACTAGATGCACCACACTGATCACCAGTTGTGTGCATTTTTCATGCTATGTCCATCACTGTACCATTCAATCTCAGAAAAAAAGGTACAAAAGCTGTCACTGGGGTGGTACCTTTTCAAAAGGTACACTTTTACCTAAAGGGTGCATATTGGTACCTTAATGGGTACCAATATGCACCCTTTAGGTACAAAAGTGTACCTTTTGAAAAGGTACCACCCCAGTGACAGCTTTTGTACCTTTTTTTCTGAGAGTGTTGGTACCGCCAAAGTACTTGCTAAAGGGCAAGATGAGTCAGTTCCTCATTTTTTCTGAATAAAAACTGCAGATCCATTGCCAGACTGGTGTGTCCAGGATCTATAATCGCCTTGGAAAACAACTCATGTACCAGGCCAAACAAGACATAAATGTGTCTGAGCTCTCCTTCAGAAAGCAATCCAGAATTTTAGTTTAATCCAGCAGCATTAAACCAACATCATTATGAGTGGGAGAGAGAAACAAACACAATCCATTTGGATTGTCTCAGGGGAGAAGAGTCAGAATATGATGCATGCCGATACATCCGCACTGATTGTGGGAACGGGAAAGAGTCCCTTCCTGCACCGCTTCTGGCAGAAAGACAGGCCACACTTCTCCCAACGCAAGTTTCATGATTAATGCAAGGGTTGTTGTGGTTGAAAAGGGAATGATGTCATTTTTTGGGACACAGCGAATGATCCGGGATCAGACTAATGGTGTATATCAGTCTATTTAGGATGGTCCAACAACAACGAAAAATAAGTAATGCACTTATAATTGGTTATTATATTAGTAATACATGATTAGATTAGATAGTCACCTACTTAGAACTGCAGTGCAATTGCTAAATGATACATTGAATAATAATCTGAATAAAATATATCATGTAGATAAAAAAACCTAAATGAAAAATAGAGGAATGTTTATGCTTTTAAACCCTCCAGAATGTCTTGCCTCATACTTTCATTGTTCATTCTTTAAAACAACAAAATTCCCCTTGACCAGGCTTATCAAATAGATTTCATTCCATCAAGGGTCCACACCTCTCATAAAGCAAAAAGTCTCTGTTTTCCAGTGAAAACATCCCCCTAATCTCAAGTGATTTACTTTACTTTCACTTCCAGCTCTGCAGTAGCCGTTAAGTATCTGGAATTTTTTGGGAATGCCTTTGAAAGGCAGAAAAACACAGCCATCCATGTGAACCGGCTCTTAGACTCAGCTGCTCTGCAGCCCTCAGACTGGACCAGTGACCACTCCATGGTGTTATCACAGCTGTGAGAACTTAGCCATTTGGCTCGAAGCTGCAAATGCGTGTGTGCTTGAAAAGCCAGCGGTTGCCAGAGGCCATGAAAAATGCATAGAGTTGGGTAGCGGTTAACCTCCATCGCTGCTGAAAATGTACATTTCATTTCACAACCCAGATTACAGTTCAAGATATAGTTTTATAATGCCTGAGGGAGGCACAAGATACACCAGTGCATGAGTCACACTCATATTGCAGTTAAAACTATAGAGAAATGCAGCATATAACAAATTCAACACTGATAATGGGGCTCTGAAAATGACATTTAAGAAAATAAATACAGCTTCTATGGTTGCTACTACTGTATATGGGCTCTACATTCAAATGCTTAATACATTTTAATTTGTTCATATTAATAGTTTTATTTTAGTTTAGTATATCAATTTAGCCAATGTTTTCTTCTTTGCATGAACACAGACGCTAGGCTTTTTCCAATAATATTTTTTTTTGACATTAACATCGTCTCTAGATGATCAAGAACAAAGCAAGCAAAACAGAACACTTACCATGTTTATTTTTCCGTTTGCCGAGTTAGTCCTCCTTGGTATATTTCCTCTGCAAAAAGAAAAGATGTGGCATAAGTAACGTTATTTTAAATAATGTACAATAGTGTTTATATGTATCCTAAGTGAGTTTAAGACACTTACCAAACTGTACACAAAAAATATGGCAGGTTTATACAGTAGTCCAGAGTGCTATTAACCGCTTCAGCGTGTCATCAGTCAATGCGCGTTTGGAGTGAGAGCTGAGAGCTTTTGAGCGCGCCGTCAGTTTCCTCCGGACAATCTCAGCCAATCAGCGCGACGCGTCAGGCTGACATCCAATCAGAAAGCCAGATGCGAGCGAAGACCAAGCGCTTCACACAGATAGACTGATTGATACAGTTTAATGATTAATAATAGTAAATATAATAATTACTTGATCAATTCATCTGACTAATTCGACTGATAATATTATTTGTTATGTAATAAAATATATATTAACAAGATAAAATAATGAAATAAAATAACACGATAGGATTTAAAAACAAACAAAAAACAACAACAACAACAACAAAAAACGTAAGGTAATCAATGAAAACCATACGGAAACGCTACCAAAAAAGTATTAATGGCAATGTATTTTTTGTCTCATGTCCTTTCTGTGCTCACATTAACTTTACAAAAGAAGCATTTTGCCATTGAGTTGAATAAAACTAGCACATCCATAATAGAAGTCCTCACCCACCCCATTGGTAACCCGTCAAAAAACAAAAGCTCAATAGAAAGAAATATCAGAATATAATCCTGATTCTGCACTTGATTCTCCACTAGAAAATAGCTGCAAATTAAATATTTACACATTAAGAACTAATTTAAAATTCAAGATAAAATAATGAAATAAAATAACAATAGGATTTTTTTTATTTTATGACAAAAAAAAAAAGAAAAGAAAAAAAAAGTTGGGTAATCAATGAAAACCATACGGAAACGCTACCAAAATAGTATTAATGGCAATGTATTTTTTGATATGTACAAATTATGGTATTCTTTTGAGCACTTAGAAGTACTATGACTCTGGACTTGACTCTGAAGCAAAGCTATTAAAAATGACAAAGTCCAAAAATATGCCAAAAAAAATGTGGAATTTACTCAATACCATGTTATTACCATCATCGCGGTACCATGGTACCACCAGAGTATTTTCTGTAAGGATTGTACAAAACATTTTGTACTAATACAAAACAAACCATTTCCTTTTTTTTTATACATATATTTGCCTAATTTTGGGGCTTTCATTTTTGCTGTTGTTTTTGGCAACACAAAAAGCTCCTAGGAAATAGTTCTGGATTGTCAGTTCATTTATTTACTAAGTGTCTAGCGCCTTCTTGGGGGGATGGAGTGAAACTGCAGAAGTGTCCAATGAATATTAATAAAAATAGCATGAAATAAAATACATGCAACATTGCCTGGCAGTTGAGCAAAAACACATTTACTGCATACAGTGTTATAAGAGACATAAAAGACAAAGTAGCACGGGTCTATCTTACATAACTTTTATTTCCAACGAAATCTTTTATGGCATTTAGATATTAACCCAAAGACTGTAGTCTAAGTTTTATTTAGCTCTTAAAATGTGCTCAACACTTTTACACTTTTCATTTGATAGCGTGAATAAAAACGGCCCTAGGATCTACAGACAGTGAAAACAAGGCACAGACATCGCGAAGAAAAAAAAAGGGATGGTACAGCAACAGGAAGGAGAAATGTGAGGTCGGATATAAATATTTTACACGTTAGTCGATTTTGGACAGTGTCACAGTCAAGCTAGTAGAGAATGTCCAGATATATCAGTGGCTGAGGGAATTTCACGTCGAGGTTTAGAGAGAGCGAGCCATGGTCCGTCATCATGCAACAACATACAGTGAAGCCTGGGTTGAAGATTCGGTGCTAAAGGTTTACAAAAGAGATGTCTCATTTCCTTTCTGTGCTGACATTAACTTTACAAAAGAATTATTTTGCCATTGAGTTGAATAAAACTAGCACATCCATAATAGAAGTCCTCACCCACCCCACTGGTAACCCGTCAAAAAACAAAAGCTCAATAGAAACAAATATCAGAATATAATCCTGATTCTCCACTTGTTTTTTTTGGGCAGAAAATAACTGCAAAATTAAATATTTACACATCGAGAACCAATTTAAAATTCAAGATTCTGGAAAGGAGGAAGGATGGTGTTCTGGAAATCGGTGAAGTTTCTCTTTTCCTGGTTCACAAGTCTTTTTCAGGTTATCAAAAAACAAAAAAACACAATTCTTATAGGTAGCTGAAGGCAGTCTAGCATGTGGTGAACAACCCGTTGACCAGCTCCAAACACTTTACACTTTCCTGAGGAATAATCACAACAAAATCAACAAGGTTAATAATAGTTTCTCATATTAACTATGTGACTTTAAAGGGATAGTTCACTTTGGAATTAACTTTTGATATGTTTTAGTTTACCACAAGGGCATCCAAGATGTAGGTGTCTTTTGTTTCCGCAGTATTTTCAATTTTGATATTTTTAGGTCAAACCGTTCATGTCTGTCAGTCATATAATGGAGGTCTATGGTCACCACCTCAAAGAGCATGCACAGAGAAGTCCAAATTAAACATGATTTAATGACTCGTAAATGTAAGTACACATTGATGGCCTAAGACACGAAACGAGCGGTTTGTGTGAGAAAACGAACAGTATTTATATCGTTTTTACCTCTTATAACCACAGCAACATCGAAGTGATCAGAGGGCGCAGACGCTTCGGATCTCTCACGCGTGTACGCAACTCATTGTTTGCACAGAGATTTCAGAAGTATTATCCTTCACTGTGAAGATCTAAACATATTTAGATATACAGGAAACGATTTTGATACACTGTATATACACAGACAACATTTAATTTTTTTCACAACCATATTTACTGTAGGTCACTTCCGGCGCTTGCACAGACCAAAGCGCCCGTACCCTCAGATCACTTGGACATGGCTGTGGTAACAAGAGGTAAAAACGATATAAATAATGTTCGTTTTCTCACACAAACCGCTCGTTTCGTGTCTTAGGCCATCAATGTGTGCTTACATTTACGAGTCATTAAATCATGTTTAATTTGGACTTCTCTGTGCATGCTCTTTGAGGTGGTGACCATAGACCTGCATTATAAAAATATGAAAATTGAAAATACTGTGGAAACAAAGACACCTGCATCTTGGATGCTCTTGAGGTAAGCTAAAACACATCAAAAATTAATTTCAAAGTGAACTATCCCTTTAAATCATTTCGAACCTAACATGTTAAATGCTTTGAAAAGTGTGCTTGTGCCATCTTTAAAATAAATTAAATTTAGTTCGATATTTGAAAATCTAATGCTACATCATTAAGGAATACACTATCGTTCAAAAAGTTTGGGGCCGATATGAAAGAAATAATTTTAATCAGCAAGGATGCATTAAATTAATCAAAAAGGGACAGTAAAGACGTTTATAATCTTTCAAAAGATTTTGAAAAAAGAAAATGAAGCGGTACAACGGTGCAATGAGCTTTATAAGTTATTAAAAGCGCAATAAATGCGGTGCTCACACCTGAAGCGACAACTTTAGGGTGAGTAAATGACGACAGATGTGTCATTTTTGGGTGAACTATCACTTTAACAGTCGCTTGTCTAAACAAACATAAACAGTAGTGAAAGACTGATGTGTCTGTGCTTTAGGTGTTTAAGTGACAGCAGCCTAGCCTAATAAAACTAGTATTTTTACTTGAATATTAGGCAAGATACACCTGAAAACTCATACTATTTCACATGTCTTTGCTCTTTTGTCTTTATTTGTCCTATTGCTTTTCATTTTCATTGTAATTTGCTGCTTTCTTATTTTATTACTGATTGTTTATTTTAATAATTTGCTTAATTTGCTTAATAACTTTTTACATGTATTAAACTAGATTTGCTGTGGTAAGTAAATTGTTTGTGTGTGTGATGGTTGGGGGGGGGTCATGTACTTTGTGTCTGAAGGGAGGCTTTGATAACCCCAATTTCTAATAATACTATCACAAATTATGCAGTTGATACTGTATTTTTGATCAAATATATGCAGCCTTCTGAAAAAAACTTTTTTTAAAATCTTACCAAACCCCAACTTTGAACTTTTGCAATTATAAGATGCTTTTTGAGCAACTATGTCTGTTTTATATGGATGAATGGAGTGTGTGTGTGTGTGTGTGTGTGTATTAACCTGGTCATTCTCTTGGCCACCTTCATTAAAAGAGGCCGCAGTCCTTCAGATTGTTTTTGATGATGACATCAGTGACGGCGTCAAACACAAACTGCACGTTCTTAGTGTCGGTAGCGCACGTAAAGTGGGTGTAAATTTCCTTCGTGTCCTTTTTCTTGTTGAGGTCCTCAAACTTGGTCTGGATGTAACTGGCAGCCTCGTCATATTTATTGGCTCCTGTATGAAACCCATACAGAGAATAATGTCAGCAGATTTCACCTCGTCCATCATATAACATTTACTTTTTAGCCAGGTACTTAAAAATAACCACATGCTAAATCATGATCCACAGGCACAAATCAAATAAATGTTCTGTTTCAGTTCGAGCCTCATCGTGGGATAATGTTGATGAACACTCAGTTAAAAAAAAGAAAATACTCAAAGACCTGAGTATTCAGGAAAGCAGATGGTGAGAGGACTGCGCGTGATCTTCTCCTCAAACAGATCCTTCTTGTTGAGGAAGAGGATGATGGAGGTCTCGGTGAACCACTTGTTGTTGCAGATGGAGTCGAACAGTTTCATGCTTTCATGCATGCGGTTCTGAAAAAGAGGAGTGTGATTGTTGAGAGGGCAGTGACTCAACAGCAGAGGGCGCTGGCGGCTCACTTTGCCCCGTGGACAGATACAGTCTTCTGTATACTATGGTAGTTAGGGGCCAAGCACCGAAGGTGCGGAGGCACCTATTGTATCTGTGCCGGTTCTTATTATTATTATTATTATTATTATTCTTCTTCCGACTGGGCGTCTATGGCAGCCCATAGACCGGTTTGCGGGAAAGTTGTTTTGGTTTGACATTCTGATAGAGGACAGTCCCAACTTTAAATACACCAATTTTGGTGTCTCTAACTCATTCCCTCTAGCGCCACCAACTGTCCAAAGTTTCACTTTTATTATGCTAATAACTTTTGAACCGTAAGGCCTATCAACAAAATTCTTTTTTCTTCTTGTTCCTGAGCTCATGCCGATTCGATCGCACCCTATGACGTCATTTTCCGTCATAAAAAAACGGCCGCCATTTTGAATTTTCCAAAAAACCTACTTTTGCGAACTCGTCCTAGACGGTTTGTCCGATTTTCACCAAAATCGCACCGGATCATCTCCAGGCAGTGCTGACAAAAAGTTATGGAATTCAAGATGATTCGAATAACCGTTTTCGATTAACGCGTAAACAAAATTTACGTAGCGCTTGCGAAAACAGACGTATGGTTGTATCTCCGCAACGCTTACTCGTTTTCAGACCAAACTTGGTACGTGTCATCACAAGCATGACCTGAGGCTACGTGCTGCGTTTCGGCGCAGTGCCACCTAGTGGTCCGGAGATATGAAAAATGGCTATTTTTGCTCGTAACTTCTGAACGGTTTGTCCAAAAATCATAAACTTCATCTCGTTAGATTCAGGGCATCATGCCGAGTCGACCGATATCCAATTTTCCCAGATCGGCCATTTTGGCTGTCGGCCATTTTGAATTATGTGCTAAAATGCTGTATTTTTTGAACGCATGAACGAATTGTTACGAAACTCGGTATGGGTCATCAGTACGATGCCCTGAAGGAGCCTGAGAAGTTTCGAAACAGCGCCACCTAGTG